TGAGATGGACACAATCTTCAGTCAAGTGCCCATGGCTCCCGTGATACTGGCAGTATTTGCTTCGATCTTCCTCAGGCTTAGCAGGAGCGAGGTGAGGACACTTGATGCCGCCGTCCTTGAAATATTTATTCACGCACTCCGCTAAGATGCGCTCGCGGGAAGCCGTCAGTGAAGTGTACTCAGTAAACCTCCCCGAGGGTCCTCTTTGTTTCCGAGGGTCTCGGGGTTTGTCGTCCCTTCTCTTCTCTCCAGTTCGTCGAGGAGGGGCGGTGTCTTGTCGCGGATGACTGGTAGATCCACGATTTCTGGGATCCCGGGCCCTGTTGGCCGCTTTCCTCTCCTCGTAGTCCATGTAGGCTCTGGCTTTCTCGAGGAGGGCACCGAATGTCCGGGGTGGTTCCATGCCCGGGAGGAGTCCCCTCTCGAGCAGGTATATCTTCATGTGATCGGTACAGGGGACCTAGATGGCCTCCCGGTTGAACCGATCAATAAATTCCCTCAGGGTATCATCGTGTCTCTGGATGATGGCCTCGAGGGCTACTTCGGTCTTTGGGTGGCATCGCGAAGCAGTGAATGAACTGATGAATTGGTTCTTCAGATTTTGCTAGGAGGTAACTGACTCCGGGGCGAGACTTTTATACCAGTCCATCGCGGCTTTCCTCAAAGTCGTGGGGAACAACCGGCATTTGATTGGTCCCCCGACATTATGGTAATGTAGCATGGCCTTGGACCCATCTATATGGTCGATCGGGTCGGACATGTCGTCGTATTCCTTTAGGTGGGGAGGCTTCTCCATGCGGGGGGAAATGGGTGCCTCCATGATGGCTTGTGACAAGGGACCGCGGGGGTCGTCCTCGTCACTCCATTCGTGCGAGCGAGACGGGGATCTGACATAATGGCGGTTATGGTGGCCCTGGTCGCGCGGAGCGTTCCTCGGGCGGTATGGTCGCTTGTTGTTTCCCCCGTTTCTGTCTCCAGGGGGTCTTCGTTCTTGACGTGAGGGGTCGTGATCGCGTCTCCCCATGTCAACGGGCTGATCCCTTTCCAATACGGGGCATCGCTCGATTGGTCGGGGAGAAGGGCTTCGAGAGATGTTCCTACTACGTCTTTGAGGGGGAGATTGGGGATGTTCCTCTGCTTGCCGAGGAGGAGGAGACTGAGGTCTCCTGTGCCTTCTGGGGGATCTCTGAGCATCTTCGAGCGCCCTCAATCTTTCTCCCTGAGCGAAGATCAGGTAGTTGGTCTGATTTATCGCCGCAAACAGTGCCCTGGTCGTGGCGTCTACTCCGGCGGGAACGGGGACCTCATGGAGCTGAACGGGTTGGTAGTTCTGGAGAGGTGGCCGATCATGTTCGAGTCGTGGAGGAAGTGATGATGACGAAGCAGTTGCTTCGTCTCTATAGTCAGAAGGCCCGTGCATATTAATGGCGAGGGCTGTGTTGTGGTCGGCGGTACCGGTGTTGTCGAGGTCGGCATTATTGTCGGTGATGTTATTGTTGACGTCGATGATACAGACGTTCATGTTTTCTAGAGTCTGGTCAGCCATGACAGTCGGGGATTGTTTAGCTTTAGTCTTAAGTAAATAGAAGACAGGGAAGCAAGTTTCCGACAGACGGCGCCACTGATCTTACCGAATCAGAAATAGACCGTCATAGCTAGCTCGGGCAGAAGTTGAGTGAGATGTGGGGGGTACCTGCAAGACACTCTGATGGCAAAGTAAGTTGCGAAATGAGCAAGTAAGTGTTAAGAGTTAGAAGTGTTGAATTGAATACCTGACCCTATTAAGAGAGAGGGTATTTATAGCCCCCAACGCTGGGTCAAAGTTCTCATTATTGGGCCACGTTGAGGCCCAATAACAGGAACTGCCAGGGCTTACGTGTGTATGGAGTCCAGCAAGTGGCCTTCCCCCTGATCAATTATTCTGCGAGAGTAGGGCTGGACCCATGATTCCCGGAGTGCAGTTTAAGATGATTGTCGTGGAATCGTGGGCCACGTCCTCCAACGGTCGTGTGGGGAGTTGCCCAACGGTTCCTAAGTTGGACTGTTTTTTGGCTTCCCGTTCGAAACGCAAGTGTAGGCCAAATCCAAACATTTTTAAATAAATTATATGACATAGTTAAATAATATTTTTTTATTAAATAAATATAAAATTATTTTATACTTTTAAAACTCTAATTAAAATGAATATGCAAGTAGTTAATATAGAGTATTTTTATTTTCTTATTAACGTAATGTAGTAAACATAATGTTTTGTAATACAGTAAATAAATTGTTGGTGTTTATAATTTATAATTCAAAAAGTAAATAGTAAATACTATAAAAAAAATCTAATTTTTTTAATTTTAATATAATAATATTGTCTTTTATGTAAATAGAACAATGGTTCATGATATGGTGTCCGTAAAAAAATAAAGATGGCAAAGTTGTCTATAAATCTTTCTTCTAAAACTTTTTATTATAGCATTTTTTTCTTCTTAAAATACATAGTGTAAGCTCTATAATATTTTAGACAGCGCCAAACATTCATTTATCTTAAAATTTGTCTATTTTAATTTAGTTTTATTTTACTTTTGATCTCAAATATTACGATTGTACAGTTTTAAATGTCACTTATTTTTAGCAATTGTAATTATATAGTTTTTTTTACGGTTTAAACCTTTTTTTTATCTATAAGTTTGATCATCTTTTTTTTTTTTTAATTTTTAATTAAGTTTAAAAAAGCATCAATTATGACAAAGTTTTCAACTATCTAACACATTTGTTTTTAAATAAAAAATATTAAAAATCGGTCCAAATATGTGATAGCAAAAGATTTTTATTTTATTTTATAATGTATTATTTGAAAATTTTAACACCGATAGAATATAAATGACTTGAAAAATGATCGATTGAAGAAATCATGTTATAATGTAGTACTTGCGTGTCTTTCTTACACTTTTCAATCTCATTGTCTTTGATTTAACTCATTCACCCTTTTTTATAACACTACCCATTTTTTTTAATTTTTTTTTACAAATTTATAATTCTAAATGTTATTTTTCTTATTATTTAGCTTAATATTTTCTGGTCATCTATATATCCATCGGTTGTAATATTTTTATGATTTTCTGATCATATATATGAGGAATGATATAATCAGTTAGATATATTTAAAAGGAATCTCACAAAATCAAATCAAATATGTCTAAAATTTAAACAGGAGTCTGTAATGATATTTTGGTACAGGATGTCACAACATCTGTCACAACATTTATCTTCAATAAGATATATCCAACGTGTTAGGACATCTCTCACAGCATCTTGTTGTGAACCATGTTTTAACAAAATTGTTGACAATCATAAAACTATAGATCTAACACTACCCGGTGCCTCAAATGCAACAACTCTAGATAATGCCTCTGCAATAAAATCCGCAGTAATATCCTCGTCAGCAGAAGCCTCATGCGCCTCATCAATCATGAGATCATTGTGTTCCACCACGGAAAAGGAAGTTTGGGATGAAATTGGACCCTATACCAATATCTTATGGTCAGTTATTGCAACACTTGCTCAAAGGTGTCCTAGTGGAGGCAAAACCACTTAATCCTCCCCCTTGTCCATATCCTCTCAGTTATGATGAGAATGCTTGATGTGAGTACCACTCTGGTTCGTAGGGGCTTATGGTGAAAAATGGAAAGGCTCTCAAACACAAGGACCAAGACCTGATCGATAGTAAGCAATTGACTTTTGAAGGAGGAATACCATTGATGAACGACCACCTTTTACTTTGACAAGTTCAAAAACGTCAAGAAGCATCTTCTAAAGTCGGTAGATCAATAAAGAAGCTCATCCCTAGGATCATTAGGCTTTTTATTTCCAATTGTAATTTCCTTCTTGCTAAGTATTGTTCGTTTCTTTAAATTTTCACTCTTTGATTGATAATTCTAATAAAATGAGCATGCATATTTTTGGAATCGGTCCTTTCGTATTCACTCTTTCTTATACCATCACTCGCCATATACATAAATATCAATGCTTTTTTATTTTGATTTTCACCTATTAACAAACTTAGGAGGAGAATGATGTAAATAAAATAATTGAATTTGCTGACGTATGATTTTATCAGTAAGACCTGGATGACGATGTAAGACGTTGTTTCACTTCCTAAACCCTATGGAAATGAGGAGATAATCTGTAGTCACCCCTTTGAGTCTGAGGTATTCTTTCTAAAAACCCGTAGTCTTAACCAGGGGCAAGGTATATTTCAATTAATTTGATGATGCATCCTAATGCAAGAGAATCAATCCATCTAATCACCCCATCAAGAGGTTTAAACACATCATCTTCCTCGCGCACATCATCCAACATCGAGGAAGTAGTGAAAAGATAAAACTCACAGTAGTTAACATGACAGTCACAATCTTTCTGAATCAAAAACAAAATCTCACAAGAATTGTTTCAAAAAGAGTCCGCTAAGTCAAAAAACCTGGAAAAATTAACTTAGACAAAAGTTAGGGCATTCTGATAGATCGCAAATTCAAAAGAACCAACATATGCAAAAATAGGGATTAAAATAACTACAAAAATTCTCTTGCAAACTCAATGCATATGTTGAGTTAATTGAAATTAATTTTATAATTTTTTTTCTTCATAATCTATGAATCAAGCCACATTACAACATTTAAAAGACTTAATTAAAGTTAGATTCACTGTAAAAGCATACTCGAAAAAATTGTTGTTAAACTGACTCCAAATATTTGTTAAATCGTCGCTAACCACATTGTTCTATCACATCTCTATTCAGCCAACCTTATAACCAACCATCATCGACGGTACACACCATATATGTTCTCCATAACAATTTAAAAACTTGCATGAGCATTGTGTTAAAATTAATTTTCAAAAGGAACAATTTTACTTGCAAAAATTAATACTTAACATCAAGAAAATTGCAACAATGATATGATCACATAGGGATCCCGTCGATTAGGATCAAATCGTTATAATCATCGGCAACTCCTTCAGACCCTAAAGATTAGGGGCAGGCCTTCAAAGAAACAAATTGAACACAAATAATTCAAAAACAAACAATTATCAACACAACTTGCAAGAATCAATAACAACAAACTCAAGAGAAGAAATAAAATTGGAAGCTCCGGATTGCAACGACCACCATGCACAGAACCACTGCTTGTCGCCGTCGCGTCTCGATCCTCCTTAATTCCACCGTACTGCATAGAAGACCTCCGCGGGAACCACCAGTCCAGTCTCGTCGTCCAGCCAACAATGACGTCCTCCACCTGCCGCATCAGCGACAGCCACCGAAGACCGCCCCTATTTCCGACCAAATGCTTCGTCCCTGCGCCCTCAAAACGCAGATCTGCCGCGGATTCGCCTCTCTCCACTGCACCACCACTGTATTCGCCTTCGATATGCATCTTATTCTTTGATTTTGCTTTGCTACGTTTGATTCTCGTGTTGTCTTGATTTACTTTTGAGTGAGAAAGATAAAAAAAGTATACTTGTTGTTATTGTTGTCTGGTTTCATACATGTCTTTTTTTTCTGGTTTTCTAATATTGTTATACTACTTCTTATTTTTATATATATATTTTTAAAAATCCATGCCACATGTCCCGTTGGTATTGGTCCAATCTTTTGGATTTTGCAATTTAAAAGAAAAAGAAGAAGTAGATCACAATCAGAAAGAAGGGCGCCCCTCCTTTCTGTTTTTTTTGTTTGTTTGAACAAATTAAGGTTTGGTGGATTTGATTCTTAGTTGAATTACCATGTTTAGACACCTTCAAAGCAGTTCATATCTTTTTTATTTTTTATTTTTTATTTAGCTTTTTTCTTATTTAATTAAGTTTAATTTTTTAATTAAATATTTATTTTTGTGTTATTTAATTAGTACTAATTTTTTATTTAATTTTAAGTTAATTCTAATTAGGTTAATTATATTTAGATTATTTATTATTTAAAAATATAAAAATATGTTTTGATTTATTTAATTCAAAATAATAAAAATAGACTCTCTTGTACATATTTATTAGGATTTTCTCCCGATTAATTAAACATCTGTCTCACTTGTAAATAATCTAAGATTTGTACATAATTAAATTACTTTTTACAATCAAATCTAATTAATTTTTTTGTAAATAATTGGACGGGATGGATGTACATCCACACTTTTCTCGAGTAATCGAATAATTTGCGCACGCCGCATGGTTTGGTCATTCAATTCAAAATACCTTAAAATCAATTTCACCCATCAAATCATTTTTTCCTTTTTGCACTTAATTCAAACAATTTTTCATAAAAGAATAGTCTGACTCATTTAACGCAAATACAAATAATGCATAAGCCTTCATCGTGCGAGCATACAGGCAGGCGTTTAACCGCTAAAATATAATCTAACACTATTCTCTAAATTCAACCAACACACAAATATTTTCTACACAAATTACGAAGCTCTGACTTTCTCATTGCACATAGGAAATACGTAGGCATCGAGTTTTAAAAACCTAGCGAGCACACTAATTAAAAAACTAACATTTCCCTTTTTTTTTTTTGCAAATGTCTCTTCTTTTATAAATATCTTTTAAATAAAACAACTGCACCCTAGTCTATTAGGAGGTTCATTCACGTTGAGTCCAACGGATGCGAGAGGTGTTAATACCTTTTCCTCGCATAATCGACTTCTGAACCCATATTTGGTTGTGATGACCATCTTATTCTCTTTGCATAGGATTTTATCTTTATTTCCCATTTCCTTAGAAATAAATAAAATTTGGTGGCGACTCTGTGTCTATTTCGAGTGTTTAGTTTTTTTTGCGTCGCGACATGAATGTTATTCCTTCACGAAAGGATCTTCTCCAAAGCAAGTTCAACTCCCCCCAAATACGGTTGAGAGACTCGCTCAAAGCAAAAAATCTACTCAATCAGGGCAACATAAAGGGATACGCTTCGAAACTAATTAAAGGGACACATTTCTAAACTAATTACGAAGAAAGAAATCCAAATAAGACAAATCACCACATACGCAGAACATGATCGTTAAAGAGATCCTAGAGGGCGATGTTACAAATCTCCTCTAGCGGGGCAACAAAACACTAAGAGATAGATAGACTCTCTCTAATAAAGTTTTGTCTGAGTGATTAAACTTATAGTCTCGTCTGAAGGATTCAATTTAAAGTCTCGCCTGAAAATCTCAGCTTAAAATCTCGTATGAGACTCAACTTAAAATCACACTAAAGGGACTCAACTTAATGTTTCTCCCAAAGAACTCGACTTAAAATCTCTCCCGAAAAACTCAACTTAAATTCTCGCTCGAGAGACTCAACATCAAGTCTCGTCCGAGAAACTCAACTTAAAGTCTCGCTTGAAGAACTCAACTTAAAGTCTCGAACGAAAAACGCAACTTAAAACCTTGCCCGAGAAACCCAACTTAAAGTTTGTCCCAAGGCACTCAACTTAAAGCCCAATGCGTTCAACTTAAAGTCCAAGTTTTATTTTAAGAACGCCTGAAATTTCTCTTGGTCAAAGAGAGCTTGTTTCATATTCATTGGCTTATTGTGAGCAGCAGGTAAAGACACTACAACAAAATTTGAAGCACGCTAAACATTGCCAATTAAACAAGTTATATCCATTCAATAAGGAAGGTGGATTTGGAGGAGGTGTTGATGTACTGGGAGCATTCGAATATGACATGGAATAACATGAATTAGGTTCATGGAGGTAGAATCAATGAAGTTTCTTCTTCTTCTTGAAGCATTAAAAGGTCGAATTTATGAGCAAGAATAGAGTTTCAACTTCCTTCAGATCCACTGTCTCAAATTTACACAAAGGGAACAATTTATATAGTTGATTCTTATCCTACATTATTGAGGACTTGACCCGACCAACACACACAGCACTCTATCAAAGTCTTACAAAGGACTGTAAGAAAACACAAACATTAAATCATTCATGAATTAAACAGTCAATAACATTTATAACGAGGCCACAGCGTAGTTGGAATCGAATGCAGGGTTGCATCAATAAATAGCAAATAACAGTATTATTTACAAATTATATACAAAAGCAAGAACTTGTATGAAGAAATTAACAATTGGTTTCTTCAAACAAGGCACTTCAAGCTCCATGTGCTAGCATGTGCTGTACATCTGCCATGTTCATGGAGCAGCCATCTTTAGAGCCTTTAACTTGAGAGCGAGTTTACCGCCTGAATGAACACCCTTTGCTGCAACTTTTAACAACGAACGGCTTTGGTACAGCCTGTAATGAGGTGAAATTAAGGCTTAAAAACAGTGAACAAAATTTTAAGTGAAAAACAACTTTAAAGCAAGACAACAGTTTTCGAGTTAGAGGGGGCGAGTGTGTGTTACCCTGCCAAAGCAAGCCCCCAGGTAGAAAGGGTATAAAACAACTTCCCAGCATTCCAAATATCTAAAATCCTTTCCAGTTTGCTTGTACCAGCAAATGCTTTAGACAGATCTGTCATCAGATGATTTAAAACATGAGAGAAAGAATTTGTAACTGATTTATCACAATAGCAAAAGGGGTGTGCAGTTGGATACTTCATTCAAAATCGTGTCAATGTAATACTGTCAGTGGTTGACAGACCGATTATAAAATAACTAGAAATTCTACCGAATAAGAATCAGACTTTTTTCAACTCAATAAGCATAGCTACATCAGACTTATAGTAATCTGACAGCAAACTTACTTTCCTGTAGTTCCTCTGGTGACAACTTCTGCAATTATAATGAGGCAAACAATGTAAGACGCAGCATATATCAAATTTATAATAATCTATTTTGATGTATGCATTGAATGAGTGAGTGTGCATACCAGGGCTTTCGGGTTTGACATAATGCATCTTGCCATAAAGTTAGCAACTCCATCAACCACATGTTCCTCACTGATAATCAAGTAACTCTCATCATCAATTCCACTACATTCCTCAAAATTAACCGGATCCGTCTCATCAGCAACCCAAACCCACCAACTCGGCTCTTTAGCATCCACATTGATTAAAATATCAGCCGATCGATAATCAACCTCTATATCAAATGCCAAAAAAAAAACCAAGAACAAGTTATCAATATCAAAATAGTCCATCATATCATGTCATCAACAAAGAGAAATTCAACTACATACATACCAGTGGCCTCCTTAAAAGGAAACTGATTCCCACCACTAGCAGTTTCCTTTTGTAGAAACTTGAGCCGAGTCAAATACTCGTCAGACCTCACCGTAGCAGCTAATCGCACGTGCAACTACAGCCAAATAACACCCAAAACATGAATGTTAAAAATAGAAACCAATTGATAGTTGTGCAGAAGAAAAAAAATAGAAACTATAACAATAACAATAACTATATTGATTGTAAGCATTCTTCTACGTAATTTGGTCAGCACCCAATTAAAAAAAATACTTTTTTAGAACAATAGTTTGTTCAATTAATTAAATAATAACAAATTAACATTTTTCTAATACAAAATGAATAAAATTCAATAAAAAAAAAAAGAAGGAATAGGGTTCGTGTATATACATCGGGAGGGCAATTGTTGATGAATGAATTAGATTCGGAGAGGTTACTCAGAAGCTTAAGATTCTGATCAAGCAAGCTTCTGAGGCGTCGATTTTCCGATTGGAGAGACTCCAAGTCATGGTCAGAAGGGAGGATGGCGTTATCGCTAGGGGTGAGAGCGGGATTATGATGACGGAGATGGTGGCCGCATTCAACGGCGGTCCAAGCGACGTCGGCGACTTCAAGCACCGTTTTGGCCACCTCTACGGCGTGTTGCGTACGCATGATTGGAATTTTAGGGATTGCGTAATTGGAGATTTGAAATTAGGGCAAATGAATGTTTTGGTTTCTGAAATCCCTAATTCCCTAATTTTAGGGATTGCGTCGTTGTTGTTTTCGTGTTGTGAGAGGGTGTACAATTGTATGAGCTGCTTTTGGTGTTTTGTTTCATTCTAATATTATCATTTTTCTGTAAAAACATTTATCATTATAATTTTGTGTGTATACATATAAAGAGTTTAATCTATGTCACATATTATTTTTCTATATTTTTCATTCTTTTTTTATATTGATTTTAGAATTTTTGTTTTGCATATTAATTATTATTTTATCAAAATTATTTTTAATAAATAAATAAACACATAATAAAATAATAAATATTTAAACTTTTTTTCAAAACAACTTAAGGAGTATGATGGAGTGGCGGACCCAGTCGACCACATTGACGGGTTCGAAGCCATGCTCCACTATCACAATGTCGGGGGGCCCATCAAGTGCCGTCTCTTCCCAACAACTCTCAGGAAGGCGGCCATGGACTGGTACAAAGGACTCGCCCCGGGCTCCATAACCTCGTGGCGGAACCTGAAGAACCAGTTCATCAGTTCCTTCACAGCTTCCCGTCGCCACCCAAAGACTGAGGCAGCCCTCGAGGCCATCATCCAAAGACATGATGAGACCTTTAGGGAATTCATCAACCGCTTCAACCGGGAAGCAATACAGGTCCCCTGCGCGGACCATATGAAAAGGTACTTGCTGGAGAGGGGCCTCCTCCCCGACACAGAATTCAGAAAAGCTGTGGGTATTGAGCCACCTGCAACTTTTGATGCTCTCCTCGACAAAGCCCGAGCATACATGGACTACGAGGAGAGAGAAGCTGCCAACAGGGCACGAGACTCCAGGGCTCGCAATCATGGCAGCAGCTCGAGACAAGACCCTCATCCCCGACGGACCGGAGAAAAGAGGAAGGAAGATAGACCCCGGGAGGTCCGGGAACAAAGGGGCCCCTCGGGCCGGTTTACTGAGTACACTCCGCTCACGGCTTCCCGCGAGCGCATTCTGGCGGAGTGTGCTAGCACAGATTTTAAAGACGGTGGCGTCAAGCGTCCCCGACCAGCTCCTGCCAAGCCAGGAGTAGACAAAAACAAGTACTGTCAGTACCATAGGAGTCATGGTCACTTGACAGAGGACTGCGTCCACCTGAAGGACGCCATCGAAACCCTCATCAAAGGAGGGAGGCTTGCACAGTACAGGCGAAACGACGCTCCCCGCCGTGAAGCCCGCGAGGCAAAGGAGCCCGAAGAAGATGCCCGACCATCTGACGAGTCGGTGCCAATCCAGACCGCCTTCTCGGTAACCAGGCCCGAGGATTTCGAACTTCCCGAGCTCCTGCAGGAGCCCCTGACGACACACAGCAGGTGGGAATACTTCCCCTCCGCCATGGTCATCAACGGGGCGGGTTCAACGACCTCACCATCAACTCAGCCAAGAGGAAGTTGGACGAACTGGTCGACAAAGCTCCTCCACAAACTGTGACTTTCGAAATGGTGAAGGGCAGATCAGAGCCCATCACCTTCTACTTGGAAGAGCTCCCCGGCGGAGCACCGAACACAGTCATCCCCTTGCTGATAAGGGCTAAGATGGCCAATTTTGACGTACATCGCATCCTGGTCGACGAAGGGAGTTCCGTCGACGTGATGTACACCCAGCTGTTCCGGACCTTACAACTGGACGACTCACATCTGTCTCCATATATAGGTTCGGACCTCCAAGGCTTCAACGGCTCAACGTCCAAACCTTGGGGATATGTCGAGCTCCTCGTGACGTTCGGGGAAGGAACTACTACAAGACAGGTGAAGGTCCGCTTCCTCGTCATTGACTGCCCGTCCCTATACAACTGCATCTTGGGGAGGCCGACATTGGCGGAGCTGACAGCGGTTCCCTCAACTGTCCATCTAAAAATGAAGTTCTATACCAAAAGGGCAAGGGTAGCCACCATCCAGGGCGACCTCGCTGCTGCCCGCAGGTGCTTCAACGCCGCCTCAAGGGGACGGGACACAGTCGACGTGGGTACCAGCACAAGGCCCATCAAGAAGACAAAGCAAGAGCCCGACAGAGCATCTCCCGAGGTAGAAGTTCAGAAGGCTCCACCAAAGGTCGACTCCATAGCCCTCGACGCCCGCTTCGACCAAGACGAGCCAGCCAGCAACGAGCAAATCCCCCTCCGACCTATTCCGGACGGCGATTTCGAACTCGTTCCCCTCAGAGCAGACCCGACCAAGGGAGTGAAGATTGGCAAGGACCTCCCCGACTTGGCCAGGAAGCAAATCAAGGCCTGTCTGCGCGAGAATGCTGATCTCTTCGCCTGGAGCGCTGCAGAGATGCCCGGACTCGACCCTGAGGTCGCCTGTCATCACCTCGCCATTGATCCAGCCGCCAAGGCCGTAGTACAACGTAGGCGTAGGCAGTCTCCAGAAAAAACGGAGGCTGCTGAAAAAGCTGTAAAAGACCTCTTAGAGGCAAATTTTATTTCTGAAGCCCGGTATTCCACCTGGCTGTCAAATGTTGTACTTGTCAAAAAGAATAATGGAAAATGGAGAATGTGTGTTGACTATACCGACCTCAACCGGGCTTGCCCGAAGGATGCTTTTCCTCTACCTAACATCGACATGCTGGTCGACAATTCGGCCGGTTACAAAACTTTGTCGTTCATGGACGCCTATTCGGGATACAATCAAATCCCAATGGCCCTGGGCGACAAACGCTGCACGGCGTTCATGACCAGCTCGGGCAACTATTACTACAACGTAATGCCCTTCGGACTAAAGAACGCCGGCGCGACGTACCAACGCATGATGAACAAAGTGTTCCACAAACAGATCGGCGACATGCTCGAGGTGTATATGGACGACATGATCGTCAAATCTCGAGCAGATACCGATCACGCAGCTCACCTCAAAACAGTCTTCGCCCAAGCAAGACAGTGCAAAATGAGGTTCAACCCCGAGAAATGCACGTTTGGGGTTAAGGCAGGAAAATTCCTCGGATTCTATCTAACAGAACGAGGGATTGAAGCCAACCCCGACAAATGTCGGGCGTTCTCCGACCTCCCGACACCAACGTCGAAGAAGTCGATCCAGATCATGAACGGCATGTTGACGTCACTATCACGCTTCGTCGCGAAGTCCGCTCAGCACGCCCTTCCTTTTTTCAAACTCCTTCGAAAGGAAGCAGCCTTCGAATGGACCGAGGAATGCGAACACGCACTTCGCCATCTGAAACAGAGCCTGTCTCAACCGCCCGTGTTGTCTCGACCAGATGACGACGAGCCACTATACCTATACTTGGCAGTATCAAACGAAGCCATCAGCGCAGCTCTTGTCCGCGAGACTCCTGACGGGCAGAAACCTGTCTACTTCACGAGCAAAGCCTTACAAGGCCCCGAAAGCATATATCAACAGATAGAAAAGGTTGCTCTGGCCCTCATCAACGCTGCGAGGAGGCTCAGACACTACTTTCTAGCACACACCATCATCGTGCGAACCGATCAACCGGTGAGGCAACTCCTGGGTCGGCCAGATATGGCGGGCAGAATGCTGAAGTGGTCCCTGGAACTCTCTGAATTCGACATTCAGTACGAGAGCAGGAAAGCCCTGAAAGCACAAGCCTTGGCCGACTTCGTCGCCGAGATGACCCCTAATGACGTTCCCCCGGGAAAGGAACACAAATGGACCATCTTCGTCGACGGAGCCTCCAGTGCGTCCGGAAGCGGCGCAGGGATCCTCCTCGAAAACGAAGAGGGTGTGGTAATCGAGCACTCCTTGGTTCTCTCCTTCCCGACGTCAAATAACCAGGCAGAATACGAAGCCCTGCTCGCAGGACTGAGACTAGCCGAGGACCTAGGAGCCCGTGAAGTTCAAATTTACACCGACTCCCAGCTCGTCGCTTCCCAAGTACAGGGAAGCTACCAGGCCAAGAATGACAACCTCATTGAGTACTTGAACTTAGTCAAAAAACACATGGCAAAGTTCGTACGAGCAGAAATCTCTCACGTTCCCCGCGAGCAAAACACGAGGGCGGACATATTGTCCAAACTCGCGAGCACACGAAAGAAAGGCGGGAATAAATCCGTCATCCAGGAATCTCTGGCACGACCGAGCATCGAACCACCCTCGACTACGGTCGAGGTCCACGCCATCGGGGACGCCACGTCTTGGATGACCCCGGTCTATAATTTCCTAACAAAAGGAGAACTTCCGACGAACCAGGCCGACGCTGCCATAATAAAGCGGCGAGCATGTTCCTACGTTGTTCTCGAGCAGAAACTGTACCGAAGGGGATTCTCCATTCCCCTCCTGAAATGCATTGACGAGTCCTCCATCCCCGACGTACTGCGGGAGATACACGAAGGCATCAACGCCCAGCACATGGGCGGTAAATCCTTAGCAAGGAAAGCCCTTCGAGCAGGATACTACTGGCCGACGATGCAACAGGACGCCAAGGAACACGTGAAAAAATGTGACAAGTGCCAGAAGCACGGAGATATGCACCTCGCCCCACCGCACGAGCTGAACACATTGTCGTCCCCATGGCCGTTCGCCTGGTGGGGCATGGACATCCTCGGGCCCTTCGTGCAAGGGACCTATCAGAACAAGTTTCTAATCGTCGCCGTGGATTACTTCACGAAATGGATCGAGGCCGAGGCACTCGCAAAAATCACCTCACATAACATCCTCCGTTTCTACAAAAGAAACGTGCTCGCCAGGTTCAGAATTCTGCAGGCACTGGTGACCGACAACGGTACCCAGTTTACCGACCACGGATTCCGAGACTTCGTCACCAAAATGGGGACCAAACAACACTTCACGTCGGTCGAACATCCTCAGACCAACGGGCAAGCCGAAGCCGCGAACAGGGTCATCCTCCGAGGGCTCAAACGTCGACTCGTCGAAGCCAAAAGAGGATGGGTCGAGGAGCTCCACAGCGTCCTGTGGGCATACCGCACCACA